AAACACACACACACACACACACACACACAAGTACACATTTATCTACACATGCAAGGGCACAATACGTATATAACACATAACATACACCTCAACAAACAAAAATATCAAGCAAAACATATACCGTTCATCCTTTCATCCCTTTGTTTAAATGATCGAACATAACATAATTTTATTCATTTTCACGATAAACACGCCGCCGCCTCAGAACTATTTTGTCCAAAGTGCCCTCTTTACTTAGTACAATTTGGACAAAATAGTTCTGATTCGACGACGTCTCGTTGTTTTTCAAATAGATCCGAATCTAGAGGAGTCGTCATAATATCTTAACTTCGTCACACTATAGAGCAGTGCTCCTTAACCGCATAAAGTCCTTTTCGATACCCTTAGCACTCTATAATAACTTCACTGAGGAGTGAGCACACCATTATGTCTAAACTGTAGGCCAAAAACACCAATTTCGCTATAATCGAGGACACGTAACACCCTCCCCCTTTCTTCCCTATCATTTGACTCAAACGGTACGCTCCATAGTAAACTGGAAATGCGCCGGAGTGCACGACCCATGACATTACAAAACAAGTCTATGCGTCACAGTGTCATATCACTTTCCTGAAATGAATGACATTCTATAGATATTTCCAGAAAAACACAATCCCCCGAAAAATGTAACGTCATTTAGTAAGCCAAAGATAAACCCAGCGTCATGTATCAGAAGCCTAATGATATGCACAGCAGCAGCAGAAGTAGAAGCGGCGTGACAGACATGCACACACACTGACCGCTCGGACAACGACAAAGAGGACGGCCGGCATCTACAGCGTCTGGACAGGGCAACGGAAACACTTAACACTATCTCTTAAAGCTGACGGTTTTATGGTTTTCCTGTGCGGGGTGGGCATATAGTGTGTGTTTTTTTCTTTCTTTTTTCCCCGGGGGCGGGTAACATGTGTACATTATTATAACATTGGTGGATGTTCAGAAAATATCCTGAGGACAGGTTCAGAAATGTCCTAGTTACATGTGCCGTAAAATTCCTACGAAAACGAAACAAACAGAAATGTCCTGGCTTAGATTTGAACTCTTATCGCCCGTATCTTATTCAATGGACCTAACTATCGAGCAATCAACGCACATTGCTTTTCTGTTATCAAAACATAGTTTCATGTTACGTCCTTTTAAACTTTTTTAGAGAGTCTGGTCTGATTAACGTACACACCGAGGTGACTGTGTAAAGAGGTGGGGTGGGGTACGGGACAGGAAGGAGTTGGGGGAGGACGTGCTCGTGGAGCGGGAGGACGGTATTGTTGGCTTCAGAGATCTTAGTATCTCATATGGTAAGTATAAGCAATAAGATACGATTAAAGCTTTTTGAAGATGGTTAAAGAAACAACCCAACAAACAAATCAAATACATCGCACGACAACGCATGACATCGTAAGACACTATTCACGAGTACACAAGGAAAAAGCAGAACATCTCACCATACGCCACATAACAAAATAGACACCGACAGTTCATACAGTTTACGACAAATATACAAAACAGCCTCGTATCTCTCACATAAAATTGTTAAGACGAACAATATGCTTTGAAGCAGGATGTAACTGATAATATTTCATTTTTGTTGAAATCATTGAATTGAGAAAAGGTTTAACACATTGTGTGCCTTATACAATCATTAACTAACAATGTAAATGGTGTATTAGATCATTTTAAATGTTCTCATTAAAAAAATATGCATTCACTAAGCAGCATGCTGTCTTCGTCCATTGTTAGAAAGTTATAACACAATTCAAAACGTAGTGTTTATTAATGTGGTTTTTTTCTGATCGAAACATACACAATATAAAAGTGACATGAGAAACTGTTTATCAGCGAAATGAGCACTGTGTTCATGCGGAAAAAACAGACATGTATCTAAGTTAGTAAAAATATAGTAAGAAAGTGAGCGATTGACGAGCTGGGATGACTATAGGCGTGAGTGATCAGTCAGATCCGAGAAATAGCTACCAGAGCATAAAGAAGGACACAACTGGTAAGAAACTGGGTAGAGTTTAGACCCCACAAAAATTGGTACGAAAATGGGTAAAACATACCAGAGTACAAAACTGGTCAAATATTTGGTAACAGCTACCAGAGTTTAGACAAGTAATAAAAGGGTTAAAAATTGGATATGTCATGCATAAAGAGATTACTAGCTGCCTTGTCAGGTAAGGACATTGTCAAGTTAGATCTTTATCAGATAGGACATTATCTCTTTAAATGTAGATGTTTTACCACCTTGTGAGTACAATAAAGACCACTTAAAAGGCGTTCATCCTGTCTGACAGGACCAGCCTCGGCTGAGAGGGACACGACATCCCAACAGAAAGACCGGGATAACTCAATCAAATATATCTCGACGCGGGAATCGAACTCAAGTCTTTTGAGTGCGACGGCCAAGAGCCTAACCGCGACACCCCAGACGCCGGTAAAGACATCGTCAAGTTATGACTTTGTTAGTGTAGAAGTAGCAGCATCAACGAGCACGTTCTCTTCCCTTATTGCATTTTCGATTATTTCACACGTCGTTCTTTAGTTGTAGCTCTCTGCCAGCCCCTTGATAACCACATCTTTTCCCTGGCCGATGGAAGAGATTCAAAATTTGATTTTAAGATTGACAAATTAAAAAGTGTTGTACGCACCCATATATACCATTAAAATCATTTGAGAGGCAGACTGTGTAGACCATGCCTATCTATGTGAACCGTGACTAAGACTACAAAGAGAGATACAGCAGCCCTGCAGAGCGGCAGAAATGCATGTACTTGATTTAAAAAACAACAAAAAACTTCCCCACTCGCGAATCGAACTCATGTCGTCTGCGATTGACCGCGAAAAGTCTAACAATTTCTCCACAGATCTCGGAAATATGCACACATATACAAGTAAGTTTTCTGTTGTTTTTCCACTAGCCCCTGTGGTAACAAGAGCTTTTCGCTGACTGATGTCAAAGCATGAAAGTAAGACATAGATGTTTAAAGCTTGAATGTTATTTGATTTTTTCTTTTCTTTTTTTTTTCTAGCATTCAACCGAAATATTTAGTGCGTCTTCCATCCCGTCAATGGCGTAACTCCCAGAAGTAGTTGTCGACCCACCATCATCATCGTCCTCATCTATGCTGTGGTTCAGCGGCGACAACGGCTGTTGGTGATGATGGTGAGGATTATGTTGTTGAGGATGTAGTAAAGGAAAACTGTTTGTTTTATTCGAGTCTTTAACGAGAGATGAGGAGGTGGAGGAGGAGGAGGGAGGACGGAGGTTGTTCCTTCCCTTTTGATGAAACCTCTCGTGTTTCGCTACAGCGTCTCTGCTGAGAGGAATTCGGCTCACTGATTGGTCTTTGCCGATACCACGTGGGTCGAGATACAGCCTATCAGAGGCCACTGTGGGATTTAGGTTGTTTCTTTTGTTGTTGTCGGTGAAGGGTTGGACGGAATTCTTCTGGGATGAAGAGGAGAAGTTTTGTGGCATTCCGGGGTGTACAGAGTTGTTGGTATCATGCCTCCGAGGATAAGACTGATCCATAAATGTCCTCAACAGCTGAGCTTTTGTAGGTGCTGCAGAGGGGTGGTGGGGGTAGTTAAAGGAGGAGGAGGAGGAGGAGGAGGGGTGGTGGGGGTGGGGGTGGCCGGACGTCGTCTGCTGAATGTGGTCAAGGCTCTGGTCATCGAAAGAGAAGCGGACTTTACTGGGCGTCTTCCGGCCCTTGTCTAGGTCTTTGTGCGAGGCGTAGGCTCGTGCGGCCCGCGACAGGTCACTCAGGCTGGAGGAGGACTCGGGGGAGTAGACGGGTCCCGGAAGTGGTGACCTCTGGTTGCCAGGCAACGCTGGCCTCTGGGGGACGCGCGGTCCGGACAATGGCGTCGTCGGGGAGATGACGGGTGAGTGTACGGGGAGGGGCGGGGAGGCTGTGAGGTGGGAGGGAAGAAAAATATAATAATATATTATATTCGTTTGTGAATTGTGAGGAAGTGAACAAAAAAAGGGAGAGGAGACAGAAATACATGCAGTGGTAGTGTTTCATATGGAGTGGAGTGGGAGTAAGTGGAAAAATGGAAGGGACGATGAGGGAGGGGGGGGGGAGAAGAAGTGAGAAGTCTAACACACAGTGATGAGAGAATGTCAAGGGTAAGAAAGTGAAGGGGGGGGATCATTTGTGAAAAAAGGAGAACAACACACACTGATGAGGTTCACGCGTTCGGGGGGTGGGGGAGGGGGAACCAACACACGCGTGTGAGTATCAAATGGAAGTGAGGCGGAGGCGGAGTGTGGATTGGGGACGAGGGCAAGGAGGGTGTGGCGGGGGACAAAACAACTCGCGCCGATGAGCGTCATGGGTTGAGGAAGGGGGCGGGGTCATCTTGTGGACAAGACGAGGCAATTTAGTTGATTGGAAACTTATGTTACCTTGATTGACGCGAAACACTTCTCATTGTTCCGGCCACGGCCAGTGACCATTGTCCAGCCTCGGGGCTACTCTAATATTCTTTTAACGGCTTCTAAAATCACTGGACTGGGCAGAGGCGAGATTTTTTGATAATATGAAAGTATATTAGAGGCCATCAGCTCTCTTGACAAAACGACAGCCAGTGGAGTAAGAAGCATTTCAAATGAGTACAATGCTCTGGGGATGAGGAGCAATCACTGAAAGAGAAGACTACTGTTGGTGTAGGCAGTCTCGGAAGACCGCCTAATTCATGTCTCATTCTTTTTCTTTAAGTCAGAGAGAGCACTTATTATTAAATACGTGTTAGCTAGTTTATCCGTAGAGATTGAGCTATTTGTATGGGTGAAAAGGAGGTGGCGGGGTAGAGGGGGCGGTGACACGCTAGTTGGGGCAGGGTTAGGGTGGGGGTATGTTTGGGAGACATTAAAACATATCTTTTACTTTTACAGCACGGAGTTTACCACTACAGATATAATGTACAATGTAGATACATACATTTTTTTTAATGAGTTGTAACGTGCACACATACATGGGAATCATTGTGTAAGCGGACCGACAGGATAGTACAGAGATAATAA